CTTCACTCCCATCCTGTACCCTCCGCTTGTTCTTCTTTTTATTTTTTTTAACTCAAAATTAATATTAATGAAACAAAACCTAATAACTACAATATTAATAATAAAACAGTTAATAACTAAATACTAATAAACAAATAAATATTAATAATTTATAAAACAAACTAAAAGAATAAAACAAAATTAATTACTTAAAAATTATTAGCAGTAACATTTTTTTTTTAAAAAAGACTTAGGAAAAAAAAATATTCACAAAAAAAACCTTAGGCCATGTGTCACATCTTTATTGGGCGAAAAAAAGGATAAATTTGAAAAACGCCCAACTTCAGGTGGACACGTGCCTAGACGGCATGAAACGATAAATGCGAAAATATCCACAAAAGGGTAGGACAAATTTAGGGTATGACAGGAGGCCCAACAAAGCCCAATCTTCCTTCATGTCGGACACACGTAATTCCGTAGTCGGGCATACCACTACCTAACACGGAGAGAGCTCACGCGTCTTCTCCACGTGCCCCCCACACGGGGACACGTCATCAAGCAACTACCCACTTCCGAAAGAACTAATCAGCCCACCTTCCAAAGATCACTAGGCAGTTGACCTAGGACGAAGATAGCGTGTTGGCCTTCTCTACGCCATGTAAGCCCTAATAGATATTCGTATTGGGCCTTGCAATTCATTCCAGTGCAAAGTACCCACGCTAGGGGCACATTATAAATATCCTCTTTCACTAGAGGGTCAAGTATTCCATTCTACACACTTATTCTCTTTGTACTTGCTCTTTTTAAACTCCGTTACTCACTTAGGCATCGGAGTATCTTGCAAGTACACCCCCTCCTCCTCTTCTACACCGGTGAACACAGAAGCTCATGACGCGTGGCAGACTGCTGATTCCTTTCTGATTAGGTAAGATCGCTCACTATTTTTGAAATTTATGGTATGCTGCTTCAAATTTGTGGTATTGCACCACAATTTTCAAATTCTCGCCTGAATATTGTAAATTTCGAAAATGGGTGAAATGATTTTGCAAGGACAGTATCGTCTTTTCGTATGCGATGGGGGGTTCCAGGTTCAAGGGAGAGGTGTCAAGTTAAATGCTCTTAAATCTTAATTGTTTCTTTTTTTCTGAAAGGAAAATGGTCTTAAGGAGTGTTTATTAGTTCGGGCAAATTTGAAATAAATCAGAATTTAAACTAAATTATTATATTTGAGTTGGACATTTTTATTGTTCAGATAAAAATCGAATCTAATCAATGAAATTCGATATTAATTAATACAGACATTAGATTTCAAAAAATTTACTCATGAACTCGTATACCCAAACAAATGATTATTAATTCATATAATTTATATCATTATCATGAAAATTAGTATAATATATTTAACTTCAAGAAGAGAAAAAATAAACGTCATTTGTGACACTCACGATCTATATGACGACAAAAATGAGAATTTTGTATTATTATTAAAAAAATTAGTTGATCAAAATTAAATATTTTTATAAAATTATTTTTGTACATTTATTTCTAATATATTTGATTAATTCAATCTACACCAACCATTTGTTTATCCGTGTAATTTGATTTAGACTTTATCGCAAAAATATACAAATTCAATTTAAATTAATTCATATATTTTTATTAATTTAGGTATTAAATTCTCTTAAAATCAAATTAAACGGTCCGCGAACACCCTACATGGTCTACTGTTTCTGTTATAGGATTTCTGTTATAGGAAAAACAATAATAGATTAAAATAGAAGAATGATATTAAAAAAAAATAAATCTTGTATACCTCTAAAGTAAGTTCTGCTACAACCCTAAATCCTAACCACTTCATTTTTTGTTTCTTTTTAGCTATTAATATTTTAAAAAATGTCATACGTCCAAAATCATATTTTTATACCGTTTGAATGTCATACGTCCAAAATCATATTTTTATGCAGTTTGAAGAAAGTGTTTTTTATAACAAAATTTTATTAGAGAATATAAAAAATACTTCAACCTGTGTATAAATGAATGCTTGAGCTGAGCATCACCTAAAAGAATCACCATCAACCTTTGAATAAATTGTTTCTTAATTGTTTTATTGTATCAGCAATTATAAATGGTATTTCCTCTCTCATAAATTACAAATTATTTTGTAAACAGTATCCTATTCCTAAATTATAAATCATTTTATAATTTCAATATAATATTAATAACATTTTTTTAGATATATCATCTATCATTTATTACTTTTTCTTTTTTCAACTCTTTTAAATTTCTCTTTCATTTATTAAAAATAAATGACAATAGTTTAAACTCATATATACTATATCTTTTATTTTTATACAATATTAATTATGTTTTTTTAATATATGTGAAATGTCTAAAATATTCTATAATTTGAGACGGAAGGAGTATACTTTTATACCATTGTAAGTTTTTTAGTATTCAAATAACAATCCATGAATAAGTCATGTAAAGATAAAATAAGGGAGAGATATGTGTCGGTGATAATAGTCCAATAAGGCATATAATCAATAGCCAACCAGTCGTATCTAACGATGACATGGAGGAATACTATTATCACAATAGCTTGAGACATTTAACATCGTTAAATATTCTTTTTTGACGTACACCCTGATTTTCCTGATTCAAGATTTTGGTGTGTGTAATTACGTATAGAAGATATTCAATTTATAGAAAATAAAGCAAAAATGCTATATTATGACCAAACCTTTAATCTTAAATGTTTATAATCTATAATTAAAATTTATCGTGTTAAACTATACAACATATATTAAGTAACAACATAAAATCTTATGTTCTATTTAGTTCAAGTATATGTTTGTTTAAGTGAGAATGAAGAAATTTTTAAATTAATACAACACATGTTAATAATTTGATCTTTTTCTTCTTCACACATCATTTCTTCTTAACCAGAATATATATAATTCTTCGATACAAATCAAACTATTGGAACAGTTTTTCCATTTTAATGATCCATCCAATTCCATAAAATATTTATAAATGTAAATTTTTTATAATATATTACTTTATTTGATATAAAATAACTGATAAACTAGCTTTAGTGAATGAATTTATAGTTGATAGTTTTTAAATTAATTGATTACTAGTAGCAAACAAACTCCCTAATAGAATTTATAATATTTATTATAATTATCGATTGACCTAACTTATTTATATTTTATACAATAACATTAAAAAAATGTTTTGTTAATTTTTTTTTTCAACTAAGACAAAATGGATAAAGTTGAAAAAAAAATTATAAACTACTTGAATTAATTTGGAGGAAAAGCTATAAGTCAGTAAAAAATAAACTACAGAAGTTGTTAGAAAATTATGCTATCAAATAAATATTTTTCAAAGACATGAACTTATAAGCAATAAAACACATGCGATATAAGCTTAAAATATGACTTTGTGAAAGAATTTATAAAACAATATAACTAACTTATAAAACAAGTAAACTATTAAAAACAAAACAAAACACGTGAAAAAGAAAGAACGAATCATAATGAATAAAAATAAGAAACAAAACAATTAAAAAAAGAAACAAAGTAAATACATGAAGACTTAAAAAAAAAACTCATAGTAATGAAAATAATGGAGTTGCTATGAAAAAAGAAAAGAAAAACGGCAAACAATAAAATGGCAATAGCATGCATAAAAATTAACGAAAAAAAATGAAGATGAAGTTGATATGAAAAAAAAAAAAAGATAAAGATAAAATATTAGACGTACATTTATAATATTCTAACAAAAATAATTTTAAAAAAATGTATGTAATTTAATCAATATAATAAAAAAAAATTCACATTCTTTCCCTCCCTTCCAAATCTGTCCAACTTGAAGGAATCAAAATGTGTTTTAAGAGATATTCTAATCCCTTCCTCACCCTTATATAGAATATGCAAATGAAATGACTTAAAATAGGGTAATATAACTTATAAGTAAATTTACTCAAAAAGGAAACGAAAGATTGCTCATACAATTGTAATTTGTAATGTAATTGTAATTGCAAGAATCTGTAAGAATAAGAGCATTACTGTTCTCAATTTTTAATTTTTATCCTTAGAATTTTTAATTTGAAAAAAGTAAGACCGAAAGTGTATTTGTAGAAACTTCGATCCAGTAAATCAACAAATAAAACTGTTATGCATACGCCTGTGTTCTCATTTCTCAGCGTGGAAGCAATATGAAGATTATCCTTAGCCAGCCTAATTAAAGCATATAGAGTAAGGGAAGGTTGTGCTACTATCTCAAGTTCATTCTTGAATTTCATGGCATTCACTTTCTTTCTCAAAAACTTGTGATTGTTCAACATAAATGCTAGAAGTTCAATGATCAAAAAAGAAATAAAGAAGAATAAAAAAATGCTAACAAGATATTGGATGAATGAATTACTACAAACAACATTGACAAAAAAATTAACTGTAACTAAATTCAACATGAACCTTCACAATCTACAGCTTCAATATCTAGACCCAGTTGTGGTAAATATTGAAGTCAAGGCTCTGAGCTCTATATATACACGTCCCAATTAAAACAATCCATTCCCTGAAATTGTATAAATAGCCACATTATTTCAGATGTATGTTATAGCTATGCAAATTCATAGCTGTCAACATAAACACCATTATCTGAATTGCAGAGTTTCTAGGAAAACTTGAGTTATCATGACATGGACGCTTTTGATCCAACAATATTACAGGATGACACATATAGGACCACTATAGAGCCCTCACAAAATAAACATGACTGGTCCCTAAAGGAATCCACATCATGAACCTTGCTTCTGGCATGACTGGCACAAGTTTTTTTATTGCAACCATAATATTTAATTTTATACCTAACTTAAATGCTACCTATTTTTACCAAAACAAATAAATTTACCGGGTTGTAGAAAGAGAAAAAAAAAAAGAGTAGAGAAATTACCAGAGCAAAAAAATTGTGTTCATCTGTCATGGTGATTGGTGAAATATATTAGTGTTCAATCATTTTTTCAAAAATGGTTTCTGGCATACAAGTAACCGCTGATCACTGCCATTCTGAAGATCGATTATCCTTGCTTCCCAGCGTACTTGAGCTGCAAGCGTGCGTACCATTTCAATTGTTCCCACTGTGTCAGAAAGAATGATCCATCCCTACAAAATAATGATGTGCAACAAAAAATTAGGCTTCATAGACCTTTTACATTACACTGAAATCGACAACTACTTGTACTAGATTAATTTCTGCTAAATCTTAAAAAAAATAACAATGAAACTTTAAAGCACAATTATGAAAGGGAATACAAACACCATGCTCATACCTCTGGTCGTAGTATCCTATCCATCTCCAAGAACAAGTCTATCAGGCTGCACCGTTCTGTAATGAACTGTGACAGAAGTCCATTTGCATGAAGCATATCATATGTCCGTGGGTAGGTGGGGAAAGGTTCGCACCTGAAGATCAATAAATCAATAGTTAGAAACAAAACAATTAGCTCGAAGCTCATACAAATTAACATTATCTTACAAAGAGCTTTGTCAATGAATCCAAAGAAAAGAGAATTTAGAGATGGAACTACAAAACTGCAGAAGATTTTCTTTAGAATTGGGTTTTGCACTAAAATAGGTGAAGTTTCAATCCAAGAAATCAGGTGATTGCTACATTTAGCTTCATATTCATTCTCAAAAGGAAAACAAAATTAAGAAAGCTAAGGGTGATTTGGATAAAAGAAACATAATATGTGGTACTGAAATTTCAGCACCGTATATGTAATATGTTTATTAAAGGAAATTATTGACATATTGATGAAACTAATGAGTCTTGCATTAAATGTCATAATTTTTACAAAACAAGAAGTTGCTAGGGAATTATTTTGCACACATTTTACCAAACACTGCTAAACCATTTTCTGCAATAAAATAATAATGAATATCAATATCTTTTGAAGTAAATTAACTAAAATTAGTGTTACTTTTCCAACTAGCATACACTACTGTTTTGTTGTTTGTCATAAGCATTGCCAGTGATGATGTAAGAGAAATACATTTATCACACTTTAGTGGTATTATCAGTTTATCACCCTCGGCCAAAATAATCTTAGCTCCAGTCAACTTTTAAATCATAGAGAAACTTTGTCTAGATCATACACAACAACTTGTCTAGATCATGAACAAATAGCAACTTACCAGTCATGCATAACACCAGTAAAACCTCTATCTAGTATGAGAGGAAGTGCATTAGTAGCCCTGGCAGGAACAACATTCATAACCCACACTGACTTTTTCGCCTCCAGCAGTGCAGCATTCAAACCCCCATAATTAGAATACATATCCATAACATTCCGAATCATATTATATGGAGGCAGTGGATCTTCATCTCCAGGTCTCTTTGGATGGTCAGAGAAAATTAGTGGTGTAAGCAGGGACCAATAATTACTAACAGCTGATCTCCAGAAATGCATGTCTTCATAAAAGTCTTCAGACAGAACTCCTGCAATAATTAAGAGAAATTCATGAAAAGGAAAAGCAGAATAAAAGGGGGGAAATATCAGAGAATGAAGAGCATGTAAATTGTAAGCAGAAAGCTTCTAAGAAATAATACTTTCCATGAATTTCAAGCTCAGCTGAACTCAATTCAGAATCAAAGGATCTGTTCTGTATTGCAATCCAGCGCTTGCTAGATGTCCCACTTATACATGATACAAGAGGCTTATAGTATGATTGAGTATCATCCCCTTCTTTACATAGTTGAATTGTATTCTGCTTGCTGCAATTAAGAAATAAATTTCACAGAAAAGCTAGAGGTTATATTATCTTAGTCAGTGATCAACAGAGAAAGACAATATCATAACTAGCAGTAGTTGATACTACTAGTCAATCTCGAATAAACAGTCTATTGATAATCAACATTTACCATTAATATCACCTACACTAATACAAATATCCTTACCGTGATCCATAACAATTCAGGTCAGCAGTCTTCTGCCAGACGAAAGTCTCATCTTGCTGGGCTAGAAGCGTCCAACATAGTTGCTGGGTCAGTTCTTGCAATGGGTTTAACGTGATTCTCCTTTTCTCCCGCGATGAACCCGGTAGCTTGCTTGTAGGTGATGTTAAAACGAAATATCCTCCGGGTTTAAGAACACGGTCAACTTCTATGAGGAACATTCCATCTGTGGGATAAAGTCAATATTAGAGACCGAAGTACAGCATTTGATGCAGAAGCTAAACAATATTCAGTATGTTATAGAAAAGTCAGGGAATGGTGGAAAAGAGGAAATGACAGTGATATAGAGTGAATGGAAGAAAATGGGGCGGCTCATTAATTCATTGTTATAGAAACATTTTGTGCATCTGTTTAAATCATCGATTTGATTGGTGAAAAACAAATCAACTAAAACAGAACACATATGATTTAATAAATCCAAACATATTTATGCTATAAGCAATATATATACATACACCCTACACCTTTTTCTATCTTATTTGGTCATCAAATACAAGTTTTGACAAATACTACAACTTGAATCTAAAATATAAATTTCACAAAATATATGACATGAATCTGTTTGTCCGTAAGAGACTATACTGACAAAGAGGGTTGAGCTTTATGAAATCGATAAGGAAATCCATTCAGCTAAGAATGAAAGAGTAATGCTCATAACTATAAAATTACCCTTTTCATCCCAAATGATGCCACATTGAGCGCAGTGAATCATGTCATATGATAATGATGGATACGGAAGCTGTCTTGCAATGAAGTTGCCAATCATGGCAGGAAGGCCTCTCTCAAGAGACAATTGAACTTGGCTGCCAGTTGCCTCATATCCCGCAACACAAACCGCCATTATGTTAAGTGACAACAAATAAGCTCCAAAGCTACCAAATCCACAATTAATGTCCAGCGTTGTTCGAACCTGTTATATTATGAGCTAAACAGATCAGTAACATATATTATGCAACCTAAACACCACAGTTCTTGATGAGAATCAAGAAGAGGATATAGGTAGCTTAATGGCATAATCTTCCTTTGCTGTACTCTATTATGCACAAACCCTGTCCTCGTAAAACAATATGAATCCTCAACAAAAAAAAAACAATTGGTAGAATATGGTGAGTGGAAGACTTACACCAGCTTGAGGAAGCTCCGTATCACTTCCTAGCCCTATCATCTCTGCAATTTGGCGAGAGTAGTCTTTCACACCATCAAAGATCATACCATCCTCTGAGTGAAAGGCAATTTGATTCTCTTCTAGAAGCATCAACCTAGATAAACCATAGCAACAATTTTAGGAATGACAGCCCACTGATAAAAAAAATCTACATTATTTTCATTCAAGCAGTCTATCTTCCAAAATTAAAAACCATTCAATAAATCAATAGTTCAACTTACAAAGGGTTACAAATTGCGGGACAATTTTTCACAAATTTACCAATTACAATGCAACCACGACCGACAAGATTTATTTATATCCAAAGGAAGTAAGTACCTTTTGGTCATACTTCCAGACGAAAGAAATTGATCTTTGGTTATCTTCACATTCCCACTCCATATAATATCCCTACCACTGGGCCAGCGCAAGGGAATTTTATATTCCTTGGGAGGACGAACCAAGCATTGATCTTCTTCCATCAACACTTGGCAGTGCCGATCCAGCTCCTCCCCCTGCTCAAATCCTGACGCCAAATTGGCAGTGATATTATGGCATGGCACGAAATTTTCCCTTTCTTTTCCACAAAGCCCTAACTCCTTTTGCCTCAAACCACCGCTCGAAACAGATTTCAACTCCAAATAATCAACTGCCACCCGCTCTTTTATCCTCCTGTAGTTTGTATAGATAAGAGAAGCCGGTCTCCGCGACGAGGAATCAATCGCATTGGAAGACGACGAACCCAACACTATAATCAAAGCCAGAACACTAATCACACACAATATCAAGCAATTCACTGGCGGTTTAGGGCCGAAAATCATCCACAATTTATTCGACAAAGAGCTTCTCATGACCAAAATCGTGAAACTCCCACTGAATTCAACGTAGAGAGAGCGAGATTTCCAAAATTGAAACTAAATCGTAATTATAAACACCATAACCTATCGTAATACCACGAATCGTATCCACACCTACAAGCATTGAAACAATACACTGATCTGAAAACAAAATCCGCGTCTGAATCGCACAATTCCGGAACAAGATCGAGCAATGCCGATCGAAACAACAACCAACAGATCAACGGATGAACCAGATCGCCGACGGCTGAATTGAATTTTCCCGTTCGACAACGCAACGCGAATCCGATCGTGAATTATGAGAGGAAAATGGAGAATTAGGGTTTTGGTGAAACGAAGAGTGAAATTGTTGATTTGGGGAAGAAGCAATTGTGAATGGTGGTGAAGAAGAGCGCTAATTCCGGTTGGGTCCAAACTGTTTGGATTGTTGTTGCTAACTTTACTTCCTTTGGCAGCTTTGTATTTTTATCTTTCTTTCATTATTTATACCTCCTTATCATTATTAAACAGATCCAAAAACACGCAACACTATTTATTTGTAATTTATTTTTATTTTTTTTGGGGTTTGCTTTAAATATTTTTTTGTCTAGCATTTATGTGTAATTGTTTATTTTAGGCACATTTATGTGTAATCTATTCCTTGCGTATGATTCAAAGTATACATATAGTATTGTGAACATAAAATAAAAATAGAAGGTATATATATGGAATAATTTGATCATAAGTTAACTAATGGCGGTTTCTATGCAGTTTTTATATTTATTTTTTTTACTTTTGGGATTAAACTTGGGATTCGTTTATAAGATTCTATTCATTAATATTCTCTTAGTTCTTAATTACTATAAGCACTTTTCCCCACTTATATTTAAAAATGACAGTAAATGAGTTTATTTTGCCGGTACCTTTTGTGTATTTATGTAACTATTTTAACTTCTCATATTATAAAATAAGGAAATGCTAACAAGTGCCCTTAGGACATTAGTTAAGAGATTAAAATGGTAAGTTGGACATTATTTAAGAGATTGAAAATATATTTTTTTTTCTAAATATATGTGTATTTAATGTCCTGAAAAGAGAAATAATCAGACTTTTTAAAGAATATTGTGTGTATTGAGTGAACTAAATATAACATATTTTCCTTATTTGAAATTCTTAACTAGTACCCTGAGGGCACGGGTTAGCATGACCCTATAAAATAAAATATAGTACTACTAATGACGAATATGCGCAAAAACTAATAATTACAAATATAGTATAGTGTTTATTTTTATTTTTTTTTATAAGAGATAATTCATTTTTTAGGTTTATTAAATAATTAATATATTTGGTCATTTTTTATATTATATATTAATTATTTAATAAATTTAAAAAATAAGTTGTCTCCGGTAAAAAAAACGGAGGTAATATGTTTTACTATAGGATCGTTAATCAAAGAAATAAGAAAGTTAATTTCTCTTTCGTATTTTTTAACCATGAAGATTGATAAAAATTCGATGAAGACCCGTGATGACGAAGAGGAGTTGACAATAATTTTAAAGGTTAAAAAAATATTAAAAGAGATTAGTCGGATGAAAATAGAAAGAAATTAAAGAGTGTTTGAGAGGGTAAGCTGGTAGATAGGGATGACAATTGTACTCATCTCTAGTGGGTATTCGCAAAATTTACTCACAACTAGTAGGATAAAAACCCGCAAAACGGGTACGGACACGAGTGTTAGCTGGGATTTTGACACTCATTAGTGTTGGAAGTAAGTTGAGAGATTTTGAGGTCATTTTTTGGAAAAGAACATGATGGATTCGACAACAAGGATGTTTCGACATTAGTAAATAGTTGAAATGAGTTGTTGAAGCTTGATTTATTTTTGAGGAACCATATATGTTTCGACAGGAAACAAGGTGAAGCTCTAGTCAAAGAAGTTTTGCATAGGAAACACTGAGATCCAAAGACTTAGAAAGATTTTTTGCATAGATTGGAGTTCGACGAAGACCATTGGAGGAAGCGTTCGACGAATGGAGTTCAATTAAGGCGGGTAACCACCTTTCGGCCTTATCCGTTTCGTGGGACACGTGGAAGACTTTTAGGCAGCGAAGTGCAGGTAGTGGGAAACGTGGCGCATTCTGGCGAAATAACTAGGGTTGGCAATGAACTGAACCAACTCGGAAATAGTTCGGAACTGGATTTGATAATTAATTCGTTGAACTTGGTTCATGAACCTAATAAGTTGAATATGAGCGAAAAACTAAGTTCGTTAACTAAATGAGTTGAACTTGAACTATACATAGTTCGACTTGTTAAGTTCATGAGTCAACTCGATTATATATGAGAAGGATTATATTGTCTTTAAGAGTAGGTTTAAAGATTTAATATAAATTTTAATCTGATATTTTATTTTAATCTAACGGTGTTAACTGATAATTTATATTCTTAAGTGAGCAAAATATTTCTAAAAGTAATTATACAAATAAAATTAGAATCATATAAATTAGTAAAATTTTGAATTAGTATATTTTTTAGACAAATTTAAATTTCAATCTAATAGCTTTAATATAAAAATATAGACTTTAAAAAAGTGACTTTTAAGCCCGTGAAGCAAACAAGTTGAACCTAATGAGATGAACCTAACGAGTCGAATCGAGTTGCTCGTGAACTTATAACGACTCGGGTTTGAGCTTAAAAAAAAATTTGTATCGAACTCGAATCGAGATTTGAGCTGAACCGATTCTTAACGAGTCGAGCTGAGCTGAGGCGAGTTCGACTCGACTCGGCTAATTTCCAACCTTAAAAATAACTATTAGATGACGGTTATTTTTTATTTAGTATAAATAGGACCTTTAGCATTCAGAATTAGGGTGTTTAAAAATTGTACAAAACTCTACAACATACTCCCAGTACCCGTGTGTGTGAGGAAAAAGTGTTTTTGAGAGAATGTACGTTTGAATACCTTCTTTTACAATCAAAGCCATTTAAATTTAAGTCATCTATCTTTCTGGTAATTTATTTCCTTGTTATTTATCTTTCAAATTCTTTCTGCAATTTACATTCCTCTTCTTTACTTAAAAGAAATCATCACAACGTCTCATTAATAACATTAGAGAATATTTAAAGAACATTGTATAAATGTCCATGTTCATTAAAACCAAGAACTGAATTAACAACACATGTCTTAGGATCAATCTAGTGAATCCTGTAAATGACCAAAGGCTTTAGTAACTTTGAAAGACTAGCGGTTGTTTGTCATTTTTGACGGTAAAAAAATTGGCACCCCCAGTGGAACAGGTGTTATTAATTATAATTTGTAGAAATATTTAAAAGAGTTCTTCATTTTTGGTTTTTTGTAGTTTCATTGCACGAGATTAAGAAGTGGTAAAGTAACCACTAATAACGAAGTAAGACCAAAAAAGAGACGTGTACGTGTAACAATGGTTAATCAGCCAGGTAGTAATGAACCATCCCCCTCATTCGACGGGGGAAACTACAGCCACAATGTTCGTGGCTGAAGTGGTTCCATCCCCAGCAACGACGACGGCAGCACCGTCGAATGCACATAGTGGACCTATCTTGTCCTCTGTAAGAACTCAGGAGCAACCTTTAACTTCTCCTCTAGTGGGCACTGGTTCATTCAGGCCTTTTTGTATGGATTTACAATGCCCTTAAATGGTAGGGAACAACTATATGGTATGCCAACTTCAATTATGGCTAATTTGCATAACGCAAATGCAACTTTCGACTACCTAATGGTGAATACCTTTTTTCCGGTACAGGGGTCTGGCTCTATTGTGAACAATATGGGTCGAAGTAACCCACCCCCAGAGATGGGATTCTCCACCCAAATGCCTAATTTTACTACGAATTCCACAACAGTGTTGAGACAGCAAATGAATGAAAGTAACCATGATATGGTCCATATGTTGGCCCAACAAATGGGTACTATATTTAATTCGTTGATCCAAAACACCACTCAAACAAATCAGTAACTAGTAGTGTAGATGACTAGAATTGCAGATTTCTTTGGAGTTCCACAATCCCCTCGATAGATTCAAAGGGATGTGATAGTCGAAAAGTATGGGGTAGTTCTTGAAGAAGATCCCACAATTAACCAAGTCCAGCGAAATGGTCCCCGTGTCGAGGTGGCTGATCAAGGAGTTAGGGTCGAACAATCAGTTCCAAGAGAACAGGAGCCAAGGGTGGTGATAGTTAATAAGAATTAAAATGTTGACGAAGTCATACATCAAGTTCGAAATGATGGTATGGCTAGAGATAATAATTTGGCTGCCATGGTCGAAAGAACCATGGTGCGAAATGGGGTAAATGTTATCCTTCATATGCCAAATTATATTTCCCCACTATCTGATTACATCCTGCAAACGCCTTTTCCAAGGGGATTGAAAGTCCCAAAATTTATAAAGTTTTCAGGAGATGCTAGTGACACAATTGTCGAACATATGGCGAGATACCTGACTGAAGTAGGAGATCTTGCCGATGACGAAAGTTTAAGAGTTAAGTATTTTCCTAGTTCGCTCACTAAAAATGCTTTCACGTAGTTCACTACACTCCTAGTGAGTTCGATTCATGATTGGACTCATTTAGAGAGATTTTTCCATGAACAGTTTTATATGGGACAGTCGAAGATCAACCTCAAAGAGTTGGCTAGCATTAAGCGTAAATTTTATGAGTCAATCGACAACTACCTTAATAGGTTTCGTTTGTTAAAAGCGAGGTGTTTCACACAAGTGCCTGAACATGAGGTGTTTCGTTTCGTTTACGATGTAGTTCGATCGTTTTTCGGTTTTGCTTAATCATGTGATTTCTTGATCTTTGCTCTCCATGTTTAATGTTTTCCATTGATGAATAATTGATGTTTAAGTGCTTTTGAACTTCATTTTCGTGCACAAATTTCAAGCATAACATGTGGATGATTGGGGAAATCTTTTGGTTGCAAAAAGTGATTTTCAAAAAGTTGCTTTTGCCACTGTTACAGTGGTAACCGGTTACTT